AAAAAAAAAAGAAAGAAAAAAGAAAAATCCTTTTCGATACATCCATGGAAAGGAAAAATTAGAATTTAGACTTTTCTATCTTATATAAGATAAAGTTTAGTACAAATTCACCAAACAAATACTTCTATCTATGTTTAAAATGTATTTGTTTCGATCAAAAAATATCACCAAACAAATACTTCTATCTATGTTTAAAATGTATTTGTTTCGATCAAAAAATATCACCATCTAACTGTTGTTTTACCATATCAAGGGAATAAACACTTACCAGTGCCCGAATTTTCTATTGACGCAACCATTTCCAGCAGCAGTCGTGAGGATATCATCAAACTGAGTCTCCTTCAGCAAACCGAGCTTCTCAATCTCCACAGGAATGCGTCCCTCAAATCTATTATTACAGAGCAACCTAGAAAACACGAATGTAATAAATATATAGTAAGCTGAACTAGTAAATTATTCATTTAGCAACAAAACTAGTATTATGATTTTTTAGAAAAGTTTTCTTACAAGTGACTTAGGGATTTCAATTCTCCTAAATCTGCCGGAATTCTTCCACTCAAGTCGTTATCCCTCAAGTCCAACACTTCGAGTTTCGTTAGCTGCCCAAACTGTGGAGGAATCGTGCCCGAAAGACAATTCTTGGATAGGTCACTTGCCACAAGAAAAAACAAAAATAATATTATCTAACTTTATGTACGGTCAGAACTCAGAAGAAATCAATCAAACAAAGAGAACTATAGTTATACTATAGACTTGATACTTATGAAATCATCTATAGCATCTCCGATAGTAATTACAAAATTTTATCGGATTCTTTTTTTAAAAAAAAAATAATATCTACCGGAACTTTGAGAAGAGTCTTCAATTGAAATTTCTTCAGTACATTCTCATCACAACATACAAACGAAGATTTTATTATTCAAGAAATAAATGTACATCACAGTCATGCAAAGAGATGAAGCTGAATACTCACAGAACTCGTAAATGAGAGAGATTCGCAAGATCCGGTGCCAATGCTCCCTCCAAACCACGTCCAGTTAGATTCCTGTACAAGTCACATAAGTTAGAAGCATATAAATCTGGACATAAATTTAAAAAGATTCATAAAAATAGAAAAATCAGTCTAGGTGAT